GAAAAGAAACGACATGGGCCTACTGTTTTCAAGAATTCTATCAATATGAAATTAGATGGGGGTCCAACCCCCCCCCCTAATGACCTTCCTCATGTCATCCTGTATCATGTGTCAAGTTGGGTGCTGATTGATCAAGAAATGTGGAAACGTATAAGGAACAGATACACACACACACACACACTGACGTTTATATATAATGCAATCTATATACTACTAAAATGGCGCACAATAGCGCCATATTTGTAATGAAATGAGAATAGAAACAGAATAAAACAAGTATCGTTAAAATGGGGCCACGGGTTACCGAGTTAGCCCCGTTTTTCGGGTCACTTTTATGAAAATTTCCAGATGAATTTAGGTACACTAGATGGCGCCACATATCGGTTTATCTATCTATTCGTTTTCCACCTGATGAATCACTTTAAAATATCCTCTATACAACGATATATACACAACAGAAATTAAATGATGAGATGAAAATGTGTTATAACGGCGCGTAGAAAGAACAACAATAAAATGTATCTACAATATTACTGACTATTTGCAAATAGTAACTATGGAGACGAGGTAATAAAATAAAAATCAAGCCGAGAACAACAACAAAATTTTATAAACGAAAACCTCTCGCTGAGCATTGGCTATTATATTATTTCCCTGTCAATTATTTTATATATATACACACACACAACAAACGGAAAATGTTAAGTTTGTTTGTTTGTTGGTTTTTTGAATTTCGCGCAAAGCTACACGAGGGCTATCTGCGCTAGCCGTCCCTAATTTAGCAGTGTAAGACTAGAGAGAAGGCAGCTTGTCATCACCACCCACCGACAAATCTTGGGCTACTCTTTTACCAACGAATAGTGGGATTGACCGTCACATTATAACGCCCCCACGGCTGAAAGGGCGAGAATGTTTGGTGTGACGGGGAAAATGTTAAGCATAATCATATAATTTACAGTAGCTCCAATACAAGATTTGTTTACTGAGCCAATAATAAGTATATAAGATGATAATAAAACATATTTACAGCAATTACTCTCAGATAGCCTTTGCATTTTTTACAAGAAAACGATAATATGTTTTTTAAAACTAATTCTTGACCACTACTACAAAATACATAAAAGAAATTTACTGAAAATAAATCCCACGTAATTGAGCTTTACACTATAGCTATAACAATATACAAAACAACAAATTATTTATGTTTATGTAAGTTTTTACATACACATTGTTTGGCGCACAAATCCAACCTAAAAATACTCATAATTGAAAAACTGAAACAAAGCTGTAAATGTCCTCCGTGTATTTCGTAATAGTTACTGCGCTAATAACAAATGAAAAGAACATTCCCATTGTTTAAAGTAATTCAAGATCAAGATAAGTATTCAACTATTTAAATATGATTTTTCCTAGTATATAATTTTTGAAAACATTTTGAAAATTTAAAAACTGAGGGGAGAGCTCGAGTACCCCAAGTTGGATACTTTCTAGGGTAGAGCTCGAGTACCCCAAGTTGCATACTTTCTTGGGGAGTGCTCGAGTACCCCAAGTTGCATACTTTCTCTTGCAAAATAAAAAGAAATTAAAGACTTAAACCTACACTTTATTTTTTTTAGGAAATTAAATTTGGTCCCCCAGTGGCACAGCGGTATGTCTGCGGACTTACAACGCTAGAATCCGGGTTTCGAGCGGGATGAAGAGAAAATAATTTTTCTGACCATCCTTGGTTGTTTCCTTTAAATGCAATGTTAATTGAATTTAGGAAAATTGAAAACAATATTACTACCACCATCACAGCCAACCATGCAACTGATGATGATAATCGTTGCTGAATGTGGAGTAGGAACAGTTAAGCAGATTTACATTAATTAATTTATTGTTTACACCAAATAGCCTTTGTTATTTTATAGTTTTATTGAACATTTGGTAAGTGATTTAACGTTTTTATTGTTATCATAAAATTAAAACAAAAAATGTTATATGGTAGGTGCTTGAAGTGCGCTGACGCTCCCTGCCAGAAGAGCTGTCCAACGCAACTTGACATTAAGGGCTTTATTAACAGCATTTCGACAAAGGTATGTTTTCATTTTCATTATTTCTGAAAACTATTTATCTGGAAAAGTTCCGTGTGTTACAAACGTTAATAGTCAAAACCTTGGACGATGGAATATTACTAGTTTAAGAGTTACTTTAAGAAGCCCCCCATTAGTACAGCGGCACGTCTGCGGACTTACAACGCTAGAAACCTGGTTTCGATACCCGTGGTGGGCAGAGCACAGATAGCCCTTTGTGTAGCTTTGTGCATAATTACAAACAAACAAATACTTTAAGAAACTCCGTATCTAGACCACGTTTTTAAAGAAAATAACCAGGATTGGTTGGTGGCAGTGAAGAAAATAATTTCAAAAGGCTTGGTCTAAAAAGTGCCACGTTATTAGTCAATACACTCTGGTGCGGTGTTTGAGAGATTATCTTAAAAAGTATTTCAAAAAGCTTGGTCTGAAACATTAGAATATGAGCCCAAACATTTTGGTGTAGCGGGTGAGAAAAGCGTAGCTGAGTAATATTACGTTATTAGTCAGAACATGCGAACATGGTTAGTGGGAGTTATCTAACAGTTATTTCGTAGAACTTGGTATCAGAAATACCATATTATTAGTCAAAACACTTAGGTGTCATTAGTGAGAATAATGTATCAGTCGTTTGAAGGATCTTGGTCGGAATACATTGTTATGAGAATTATGACAGTTATTTTTAGAAATTCGGTTTTAAAATACAGCGTAATTCGTCGTAATCTTAGAGCCTGATTGGCAGAAGTTAGTCGCTTATAAAAGAAAGTGATTTAAATTTGTGTATCAAAACTTTAAATGGTGACGAAGAAAATAATTTATCCAAAAGCTTAAACTTTGCAGTCACCTCAAACACTATCTCTATTAGATGTCATTGGTGTGTCAAAATAAGTTGCAAATTAAGCAACATACCGAACCGAGTCTTTATGACTAAAGAAACTTTCCATAAAGACAGAAAAATAAAAAAACAACAACATACTTTAGAAGAACGTAGAGAAATACAAGAAATTAAAAGGTGATGATAATATCGTAATCCTATCGCCAGATAAAGGAAATTAATTTAAACCAATCGGAGTATGAGAGCAAAGTTCAGGATCGTTATCGAAAACAGCCGTTATAAATCAATCTGATCAATTACAAAATTATCATATATAATCCAGTAAAAGGAAAGTCACGTAGTAATGTCTCCCTACAGCTTTAAATCATCTTTAAAGCTGGTTTTCATCTTATTTCAATGGATTCACCAGCCAACCTCTCAGTCATTTATATTGATCTTACACTGACGCCCTTATCATGCAACACTATGTCATTTGCAAAAGGCTTGTTTCACAACCTCTCAGTCATTTATATTGATCTTACACTGACGCCCTTATCATGCAACACTATGTCATTTGCAAAAGGCTTGTTTCACAACCTCTCAGTCATTTATATTGATCTTACACTGACGCCTTTATCATGCAACACTATGTCATTTGCAAAAGGCTTGTTTCATTTAAGAAAATTTTAAAACATTAAATCATTGCTCAAACTGGCAATATTATTAGGTTTTGAATTATTATCACTCATCACTGTAGGTGTGGCGAAAGAAGTCCTAAATGTGGTGTTATATAAATTGTAAGATGACAATACATTGCAAAATATGTAAAAAGTTATTACTCTACTCGTTCGTTAAATTATTTAAAGAGTTTAACTACGCTCATTCTCTTTAGAGTTCAACCATTTTGATATGTTCACCTCCTTCCCTAAACAACTGCTAGCTTTACATGGAGAATTTGGAAGAAGGAACTTTGTGTAGAACACCAAAATACCCAAATTTTTCACCTGTGTGTGTGTGTGTGTGTGATATTTTTGTAGGTTGTTCACAACGACATTCAATTTTCTCTTAGATTCACCAGAGAAAAAAGAAAGTCGATGACTCACTAAAGAATGCAAGAAGACCAACATTAACAAGTCTAAAAATCTCTTCACCAATCTTGGAATAGTCAGCCATCGCACAGGACAGAAAGATCCACAAGGGAATAAATTAATTGTATAAACTTTTGAAAACCAACATCTACTCTAAACATCTCAATAGATAAGCAACAAAACCTAAAGAACAACATTCTAACAGTGTAACAGAAGAGGGACAAAGGAAACCATCATTAGTTGCAATCAATAAATGTACATCTTTGTCATATATTAGAGCATAACTTCCCAAAATGGAAAACGTGGTCTTCTGGGAAAGCACTGTATGGTTTAATGGGTCTGGCATTACATATATTCCCTCCTAAGTGATTCTGATATCTGATAGGTATCTGCATTAACATTAGTTGTCTAGAAGTCATCAGATTGGATACTTTATAACATAGGAGGACTTGAGCCAAAAAGTTCAGGAGCCTTTTTATTAAAGGAACAGGAGGAAAACTCAGAAGAATCTTCTGCAAAGACGTCTAAACTAAAAACCACCTTGAGAAAAGTGGAAATTTCTGTATTCTCAGAAGTGTGACTTGCAGCATAACGTGTAAAAGTGGAAGGAATTAAAATAGAAAAAATCAGCTCTTGTGTCTGGAAAACCCCAAAAGAAATGAAATGGTATGAATCACGATCCCTGATACATGTGACCAGAAATCAACACTAGGTGTGATAAAGAAAGATCACTTATTTGTTTCGTTTAGAACAAAGCCATATTGGGCTATTTGTTGTGTCTACAGCAGGGAATCGAACCCTGGATTTTAGCTTTGTATTTAGAATCTGTTTGAAGTTAAGCACAAAGCTACACAAGGGGTTATTTGTCCTCTTCTCACCACGGGTATTGAAACCCAGTTTATAGCGTTGTAACTCCACTGACATATCGCTTTTTAGCGTTGTAAGTCCGTATACTTATTGCTGTCCCACCGATGATAAAAAAATAAACAAAAAATGGTCCACTCATTAGAATTAACAGAGACTGAGAATGCTATAACATATATCCACTTCAATTTCATGTAATATGAATAAAATATTAAAATCAATCTGTGACAGACAAATGAAAAGTAAAATGCTCTTTTTTCTTTCGATATCCATGATTGCATTCGTTAATGCTGCCACTTCATGTTGGCTTAACTGTCATATCTTTAACTTCTACATTCCTTAAGGATTAATCCGAGAGAATCCAGTTCAACTTGTAGATCCTATCAACCAATGGTTGGTTGTGTTATGTATATTCATAATTCTCAGCAACCTCAACGTACATTGCTTCACTGTTGACAGACTGGAGAATGGAGTGTAATTACTAATTATTGTTGATATCAGGTTTAGTTCAATAGCAAATAACAGTATTTTGTTGGATTCAAGCAATTATTTTTTATCTTTCGGTTTTCAGATATATAAAATATTAGTTCATCTGATATGTGTGAAATAATGAGTATCGATTTCTTTGTTTACTACTCTTCTTACGTGTCCCTGAATTACTGGAACGAATTTTACTAATACCTTGGTGTTTCCTAAAAATTACGATTGTTTGGACTATACAACGTGTTGTTAGTTTCCCAGAAAATCAAGATTGTGTTAAGTTTGAGTTTGTTTGAAGTTAAGCACAAAGCTACACAATGGGCTATCTGTGCTCTGCCCACCACGGGTATCGAAACCCGGTTTCTAGCGTCGTAAGTCCGCAGACATACCGCTGTGCTACTGGGGGGCGATTGTGTTAAGCTAAGTGTTGTATTACAAATAAATGTTAAGCCCAATCTATCAATCGATTTACCGCACCTCAAAACACCATAGATATATTGGATTATTGCGGTATTACGTTTACAGAGATATCTCCACCACTATTCCCCTGTTCGTATTGCTGCCTCATATATATTATCAATCATGATGTGTGTTCATAAATGATATTACAGATCGTTCCATTTCTGCAATTTTCGTAAGAAATTACTGAAGTACTGAATATTCGTGCACTTTTTAATCGTGAATTCAAGTTTGTTTGTTTTTCAATCATAGAACTTTTCTTTAAAGAGGAACGTATTGGATGTTGACAAGATTTTGAAGCAAAAGTAATACAATGAGTTTTGAATTTTCCAGTAGGAAATCATATATACTTATTTCCCTTTACTTCTGATCAAAAAATGCTACTTACGTATACCTAAACTAAACAATACCCCAACTATGAATATTACTAATTTAGTATCCTGAACTTACTTGTAATATTAGAAAATTATGGCTACGAACCTGTATGGTCGGTCGGCTAGTAAGTCTTCTTCGAATTGATTTTCATAGTTGTTAGTTTGGGGTCTCTCTTGAGCAGAATACTCTGCTTCTATAACAGTTCTCTGTTTTCTTCGTTTTGTGTTGTTCACATTTTATGAATCACGAATTTGTTTGATTTCATCCAAGGACCCTCTTTGACTAGCATGTTGTACATTGTATTAGTTGTAGTACACTGCACTAGCATGTTGTACACTGTACTAGGATGTTGTACATTGTATTAGTTGTAGTACACTGTACTAGGATGTTGTACACTGTACTAGCATGTTGTACATTGTA